TAGCCCCGGGGCTCATTGGCCAGTCAGTCTAGCCTAATTGGTGATATTTAGGTTAATGAGAGACCCTGTCCCAAAGTTTATGTGTGTGGCAGGGTATAGACAGGGTTCCTGAGAATGACATCTAAGGTTGTCCTGTAGCCTCAACATGCACACACACACACATGCATTTGTGCTCCCCAACCCACATATGCACAGGACCATGTATAAAAAATTCACAAAGCCAAGAAACCTATCAGTTTCAAAGCACATTTCCTAATTTTCCTTGGTGTGTGTGATCAGATCCTCTGGGACTCTGGCTGGAGGCAGTGGCCAGCACTGAAAGACTGCAGCTCTTTAGGGGAAGTTCATCAGAGGAGGAGACAGCCAAGAGGACCTCAGCAACAAGCACTGTTCACCTGCCAGCACTGGAGGAGGAAGGACTCACACCCCACTTGTCACCATCTTCAGCTCCAGTGTGCCAAACCGTCTCCTGATCCACTGAGGGGTTCACATCAACAAGTGATATGAGCGTGGATGCTTGGTGTTACCTCTGTATCTCTAGCATTTTGCTCAAGGTAGGTTTTCAGTTTTGAAATGTTTGTTGAGTGATGGACTGGGAGTGTGATTTGGTTGGTAGAGTACTTGCTTGGGCATCATTGAGCTTTGGGTTTAGAGCTCCAGCACAGAGTGATACAGCTGTGCTAGTTCATGCCTGCTATCCTAGCAGTTGGGAGGTAGAGATGGAAAGACTAGGAGTTCAAGGTCATCCTCAACTGTGTATCTCATTTGAGGTCTCTGGCCTACAAGAGACCTTTTCTCAGAAAAGGCCAAAACAAAATAAAAATGTATTGAATTCTGAAAGGGCATCAAGTATTCAAACAGGAGTAACATGTTATGTGTGAACCCTACAAGTAGTGTAGCTTGTACACTAGTGGGCTACTAGACCCAGTGGGCTGAGACCTGGAGCAGACAAGGGTGTAAGGGCAACTAATCTAGTGAGCAGGGGCAGTGGCCTGTCTGGTGTCTGGCTAATCCTGCACGTGCTCCATCCTACTAGTGTGTTGGTGCCCAGTGAGTAGTAGTTAGATTTTGTCTTAGTAGATGGAAGACTCTGAGCAACTGTGAACCCAAGAGTCCAATAGGCTCCTCTGGTTTGTCTGGGAACAGAGTCTGCTGAAAAAAACTTAAGGACTCATCCATGGCCAGGCCACAGAGAGTGGTTCCCTGTCATACTTCACTGGTTACATTTTGTCAACCTGATACCAACTAGAGTAACCTGGGAATAGGGTCTCTCTATTGAAGAATTGCCTCCATCAGATTGGCCTGCAGGCTAGTCTGTGGACATTTATTTTGATTAATGACTGACGCAGGAGGGCCCAGCCTATTGTGGGCAGTGGACACATAGACCTGGGCTGTATCAGAAAGGTAGTTAAGCAAGGCAGGAAACAGGTTTCCTTTCTGGTCTCTGCTTCAGTCCCTACTTCCAGGTTCTTCCCTGCTTTGCTCCATGATGAACTGTAAACTGTAAGATGAAACAAACCCTTCCCTCCCCAACTTGCTTTCAGTCGTGGGATTTATCATAGCAACAGACAGCAAACCAGGTCACATGCAGAGCTATTTTTGATGGAATTCATTATCTCATTTCTGACCAAAAGGCCTGGATTCTATTTCCATGACAGCCGCCTGTGTGAAGTGACTGAAGAGCTAGGGAGACTGAAGCCAGGGCGAAGTGAAGGTCACTAATATGGCTTTGCTTGTTGGCTTTGTGTTTTGATTTAGCTCAGTTTCTTAGAGAAGTTGACTGAGGCATAGAAGGTACATCAGCCAACACAGAGCCCAACTCCCACCTGGCCTCCAGTGGATGTCCCTGTGCCTTCACTTGCTTACATGTGCTAGCCATGTGACCTTGATGAGGTACTTAACTTCCCTCGGCTTCTTCATTGGTAAAAGTGGGTGTAAGACAAGGCTAGCCCTCCAAAGACTGGTCTAAGGATGTAACAGTTTTGATACAGAAAGCCCTTTTGCCATGTGCTGTGTACTGGGAGATTTAGCTATTTAGCTGTTACAATTTTGAATGTGTTGTCATTCTGTGCATTATCAGGAATTGTTTACCCAAACCTCTGGAGCACTAGATGCATTCTGAAATAAAGAAAATGCCAGAATTTAGAGAAATAACACAGGGAACCCTCTTTTTGGCTATGAAATGTCCTTAATGGCATCCCAAGGCTGCCTCAAAGGTAAACATTAATATTCCTTCAACAGAGAAATAAATATTCATATAAATGTAACTAGCTGACTGTAAGTAGTGCAAGCAGGTCTGTGTTGCTGAAAGAGTTTTTGACAAACACAGAAGGTTTGCTTCATTTTGGCTGTAGGATGGGAAACAGGCCCTGCTTTCTTCTTGTGCCCAAGAACAAAGTACATTTCCTGAGACTGAGAACAAACCCCAACAACTCAGTGTGTCCACTCACCTCTGCGTATTCATGGAACGGGGAAATGCCGAGGGCCTTCCAGTAGGATTTGGTGTCCAGTTCCACCCTGTACACCCCTTCTACGAACTTCTCATCTGTGGTGAGCCCGTGCAGTTCTCCAGATTCAGCTGTCTTCCTGGAAGGCACAAAAGTCCAGGTGGAGTTAGGGGAAAAGAGGGGCTACCACACACAGACATGTGTGTATATGTGGTTGTGATATATATGCATGTATGCATATGTGTGTAGGTGTGCATATATATACATACATATATATATATATATATACATATATATATATTTGTGTATTTTTTCCAGCAACTGAATCAAGAGGGAGGAAATTCTTATGTTTGTGATAAAATGGCAAGGAATTCATGGAAACCTTATGTGCAACTCATCGTAGAGTCTTATCTTATGAGGATAAAATACAGTAAAATGTTTACCTTCAAAGTCTTAATCCAGGCATTTACCTTCAAAGTCTTAATCCAGGCATATGGGGCCACCTATTACCCTAGTGTTCTGGGGATAGAGGCAGGAGGATTGCTACAGGTTTGAGGGCAGTTTGATTTACATAATGAGTTCTGGACCAGATAGGACACTGTCTCAAAATTAATTAATTGGAATTTTTAAAAGAAAGAAAAGCCTTAAAGCCCAGGGGTGTTGCTCAGTGATAAAGTTCTGTCCTGACATTTGTATACCCCTGAAATCAACACACACACACACACACACACACACACACACACACAAAAGCATTCAGGGTTAATGACTTGATGAAAGTTCGTGACAGTCCCTGAAAGTTGCTCTAACTCTGTGACAGCAGAGTGACAGGCTTGTGTACCATGGCACAAGGGGAACCTCTGGAGGTAGTGTCGTTTGTCAGAGTAGAAACCCTAATAAACAAAGAAGAGGTTAACCGACTTTCTCCTTTTATAAAGTTAATCTTCTTGGCAACTCTTTGCCAACAAGAATACCAAGTGACTTTTGTGTCCACATAGGCACCAGTTCCTAATGGAAATGTTAGAAATTGTGCCTCATTTAATTACAACCAAGACAGATAAACTAGCAATTGTCTTTAGTGACTCTGACCATGCCTGTCTCCATCTCTCCATCTCCCTTTTGGTGTGTGTACAAGAAAGAAGAGTCACAGGAAAGTCTGACTACTTGGGCATCGATTGTATTGCAACTTAGTTTCCCCTAAGTGTCATGCTGTGCTGGACACTTACGTAATCATTATGAAATTAACAAGTAGAAACTCAGTTAGAACCAAACCAAAGAAAATGGTCTTCCCAATGGTTGCTGATGAACATTAGTGGTTCTTGTTGTTCAATTAAAGCTTAATATACAGTCTTTACTCAGGAGATGTAAGAGCTTAGACATTCTTCTAGGTGCTAAGGGTATCTTAGCTGCTTTTTCTTTTGGTTCATTTGTTCAGGCTCATTGTTAATTTCTTGGAGATTCTTGTGGTGGTTAAAACAACAACAAAACAAACAAACAAACAAAAAAAACCGCACACACACACAAATTGTTATGTGGCCAGCACAGGTGGGAAGTCATTTTGACATGCTCGTGGGTGATTGTAATATTGATCATCCCCTGGGTTTTGCCTTGCAGATCTCTGTTGATGTGTTTCTTATTAAGCACGGTGGCTGCTAGACTTGCAGAGAGCTACTCTGTTCTGATTGCACATTTAAAAGCCCCTGCTTCTGGTTAACATCGGTAAGATCCAGGAGGGTGCTTCACCAGTTTCTTTCCTTTCAGTAATAAATCAGCACAGGTGTGCATCCTTCCTAAGATCCTAAGACAAGGACTCAACTCTTGAGCAATACCCATGGGTGCCAGGGAATCTCAAAACTCCTGAAATTACCCATGTGGTTTTATATATGTTGTCATATGTTGTCATATGACTCATTGTGCCCCACGAGTCTATAATTTTCTCTCTCTCTCTCTCACTCTCTCTCTCTCTCTCTCTCTCTCTCTCACACACACACACACAATCTCTCTCTGCATACATGCATGTGTATTGTGTGATTGTGTATATTATTTTTGCAGTGTGTATGTGTGTGCACATTTGCACCATCTCAACTCAAAGCTGGATGTCTTCCTCAATTATTCTATACCTGTCTTTTTTTTTTTTTTTTTGAGACAGGGTCACCAAACAAAAACCTACACATTCATCGAGGCTGGTTGACCAGTGAACTCCAGGGTCGTCCTGTTTCTAAGCCCTCACCACCAGGATGGTGTTACGAGCATGCACTACCATGTTGGGCTCTTACACAGAGTCTGTGGATTCACACTCAAGCCCCCAGTCTTCAGAGCAGAGATTTCACTGACTGAGCCATCTCCCTGTCCCTAGAGATTATAATGTTCATCACCTTCTTCAAGAGGACTGTGATGAAAAAGGTAAAGTCCTGAAGCAGGGGAGTACTGACTCTCCTTTATAGTCCCTTCAGTCCTAGACTGGTCAGGCACAGCTAAGCAGAGCGGGAAGGCACTGTCTTAAGAAAAGGTCTCTCTCTGCCTGCACCTTAACCCTCTAACATTTCCTTCTATTTTATGTGTATGATATTTTGCCTGTGTGTGCATTTGGGCAACACAGGCATGGTGGTTAGAAGAGAGTGCTGGTTCCCCAGAAACTGGAGTTACAGATGGTTCTGAGCAGCCACTTTGGTGCTGGGAGCCAAACCTGTGTCCTCTACAAGAGCAATAAGTGCTCTTAGCCACTGAGACATCTCTCTCAGCCCTAGAGCTGGTATGCTGTGTGTGTCAGTCTCCAGCGAGCAGAAGGGTGAATGGAAAGATAGACCCAATCCTGTGGCAGGGTGCTCTTCATGCTTACCCGGAGGCGAATGGCTCCCAGGTTCCCTGAGCAGTCTTTTTGAACACTTGCACAGCCACATCCACAGCAGGGCTGCCTCGGACAGCATCCAGGACTTTGACCATCAAAGGACACCTGGATTCCCCAGTGCCCTGGGTATAGGGAAGACAAGAGAGATGTCAGTGAAATTGATCGGAGTGAAAGGCTTGTTCTTTCTGGTGTTGGAATCTGGAACAAAACCAAAAGTACATGCTGATCCCATTATGATAACGTAAGTGTTGACAATTAATGAGCTCCTTTACTCAGTATAACACAGGCAGCGCTGTTTCCTAAGCAAGAACAGTTTCTGCCTCCAGACACACTGCTTGCACCAGGGACATGGTTAATGAATTTTCAAAGGGAAAATGGGCCCTCTGGGAGCCATTGCTTGCTTTGTTCACCTCTCCATCTGAATGGAGCCACTGAGAAGGTGCATGGTACAAAAGGCCAAAATGGTCTTTTCCTTGAGATCATTTTAATCAGCTGTTGCTATAGTAATTCTCTCTAGTTGTAACATAACAACCGCATATTTCCTGACCCACTTAATTGTATTAATTCAGTCTTCTAGAGACTTCATCAGATATTAGAATAGAGTGTTGCTCTCCCCCCCAAATAATGATCAATAATACATTTTAATTAGCTGAGAAACCAAAATATAACCTTACACAATAGGTATAGTAAATATAATTTCTAACCAATATGTTAAATAGATTTTATGAGAATTCAGTATTAACAGCCCCACTGATGATGGAGCTTGAACCCTGGGCTTTTCACTTGCTAGACATACACTGAACCACTAAGCTACATACACAGGATTTTTCTGTCTTTATTTCCATGTTCATTTCATATTTTTATTATCTAAGGACATCAAGATACCGAGCATTACAGACTCACTGCACCAACACAACAGGAGAAAGAGCCAAGGGTCTAAACCCCAGATCTTCTCTTTGGAGTTGATTGGGAAACAGTCACTGAGCACCCGTGTCCTAATAACACCAACTAGTTGCCAAAGCTGGAGGAAGCCACCTCTCCTTTATCTAAGATGCACCCACCATGTCTGGAAAGTCTTCCATGGGATCACTTACCGAAGGGCCAGCCTCGGACATAAATGCCAGTCCAGCGAGGCAAAGGAGGAACAGATGAGGGGACGCCATCCTGCTAGGAGCCAGTGGACCTCTGTGAAGGCTGCTCCCAGGTGGAGGGGCTTTTATACTCCCTCTTCCTAAGCCAGGCTGCTGATCCCTGCCAATCTGACTCCAAACCTGCTGATTCTGATTATTGACTTAGTCAACAAAGGGAGAATAAGTAACCTACACAAATATGAACCTTGTCTAGTGAGATTAGAGCAATGGAACATTCGCCCTATGAAATAATCCTAACTGGTCATTTGACCAGCCAGATCCACACAACAAAGTGATCTAAATCAAAGGAAAACAGCCTGCTATGCTGGATGAGTGCAGTTGAATTTTTGGGATTTTTTTCCTTACTGATTTCTATGCATCTTTTCCAGTTTCCATACATTTTAATCTTTGATTTTATATGATAGACATGTTGCATTGATTTTATTTCATACTGGTTGACATCTGACTGCCCAGGTTTAGATATAGTGCATTAGCAAATATCACTGCATTGGGCTATGAGCCAACAAGGAAGACCCCATAGCAGTTAAAAAAATTCTCTGGTAGTCAAACTAAGTCATATGGAAGCTTTGCTTTTTTGTATCTGTGTGCATGTGTGACACCGTTTCTCCATTCCTAGATGAGGTTCATCCTAACCCCAAGAATAATGGTGTGTTTCAGATTGCTGTTTGTGAGATTAAAATACAAAAATCTTTACCGAGTCTCCTCACTGGGAATGCAGGAAACAAGACACTGGCTGGTTTTTGTCAGAACTGTAATTTCTGGAAGAAAGTAGAGATGCTGTGAGGAGATGCTGTGCCTGGTGACATCATCATCCTCACTGACAGGTCCAGAAATTCAGAGATTAGATGATTCTCTGTTGAGACACTCTGTGTGTGTGTGTGTGTGTGTGTGTGTGTGTGTGTGTGTGTGTG